CAAATAATGAGCTCGCGAAGTGAAGTCTTTTTTTGAAAATATTTTTTCTATACTTTTGTAAATCGTTACCTATGATTGGGCGCTTTATGTCGCACACTGAAGCATTAAGAATCAGAAATTTATAATCCTTTTGAAGCGGTATGCATGTCAAGTTAACTCATTTTAGAAGCTCTGCGGATTTTATATCTTTGTAGGCACGTTAATTTCCCAATCGTATCTCACCTAAATAGGCTCTTAAAGTTAGTACTATGGACAATCTTTAATCCATTACTTTGGCAGGGTGATAGAACATTGCTCAGCCTGTGGAGAATAATTTACTATATTCATTTAACTAGCTAGATTTCATTTGGATCCAAATCTAAATTTCCTAAGTAAAGGGAGTAAGTTTCTGAAGATACTGTGGTGCTGCGTTGGTGGGAGAGTATATCAGGCAATTTAGTGTTAACAACTGGGTTGAAAACATAAATTGGCCACCGTAAAGAGTAAAATTTGGAAGATCTCACCTGGCTAGCGCCGATGACTTCAAGAGGAGAATGACTGATTTGGGGCCTGACCAGTGGATAAAACCAACCTACAATGTCAAATCAAGCTCTCGGCACCTTATCTATCACTGTTAATTTTGCCTCCGTTAAGCAATCACACCGCAGAACTGTATCTATTGTTTTCATCTGCATTAAATGCTCTCTAAGGTTTATAAGATAATCCAACTACGGCGAGGGAAAACAAAGGTTTTAATGGCATCGTGCAAACTTTTTTCCAACATCTATTGAGCATAAAAGACTGAGAGTCCGCACGGAAGTTTACGTGTTGAAAGGGACCGCTTTTCATGGTATGTCGCTTAAAATCGATTTTACTTTCAGAAAAAAAAAGGAACAAAAAAACTGTGGCAAGGCGACTTGAGCACGTTTTGAGGAGGGGGCAATCCCTATCAGCTGGTTATCTATTCAAAGATAACACTTGTCATATCAGACCTTAATCTTAAGAGTAATTAACTTGGCAAATGCAAACGGATCCTTGTCTAACGCTACCCTGCGTTATCTGATAATGATGATTATTTTCATTCAAACCGCCTTTAGTTTTCCATTCGTCACTCAAACTCTGAGATAGAGGCTTACCCAAATAAATTAAAATTAAAGTTTTCATTATTTTTTTTAGCAATTTCCTGCTTCCAATTTGAGATCTGGTCAGTTATCGTGAAATACTCAGCCCATTTCATTAACTTCCCCTAGCAAAATCTTTTGAATAAATAATTTGCTTCTAAGCATTTGGTGTCTAAAAATAGTACTAATATCAAAAGAGGAAAATTAGGAAATTGTGAATTTTTAAGGCAAGGATTTAAAAGCATTAGATTGGGGTCTGAATTTTTTTTTTTAATGAGCAAATGTTTTTAGTGAGACTATGAAACAGAGTCTATAGCCAACAAGAATAAATGTTTTAAACAATTTCTACCAAATTTTTTGGCTAGTGACCCGTCAGTAGACCTCTTATTTGTGTGATAATAGGTCTGGTATAATTGCGAACGATTCCCCAGGAACTTATATTCAAGATATTCCTTGAAAATTGCATTAAATTGAAAGATGACAGAGTTTTCCATCTACACGTTCCAGACCCTTCACCTAGGGCCTCGCTAAAATCGGTTTCCTAGCTAATGTCATAAGTTTTTTTTAAAACTGCTAAGTTACACGCTGTATAAAGAAAAAGTCACCCTCGATTTTTTAATTGATTTGAAAATGAAAATTTGTCTTTCTCGTCTCTGTGCTATATCGTCAAGAGCTCAATTAAGAGCATTCTCTCTTTTTTTTTGAAAACGAATTCAATGGTTTATAGCTTGTTGGTGAACGGATTGCATACAGGTGCAATTTCCGTACGTTTAAAAGGAAATTCTTTTGTTTTTTACCGGCACTTTCCAGCATATGCCATATTTTTTTCTCTAGAACAAAATCATCCTTAAAACAAACGTAATTCAAAAATACAATAGGAACGCCAACCAATTGTGAACTGAAGAATGATTTCAAAGAATTTAATTAGGAAGAAATGGAAAATATTTTTATTTTTTTGTAATTTTATCTCTCTACTACAAATTGAAAATACTCTTGCCTTTCCCTGAAAAATTTTTTATAACGTTGGTTCAAAGCCTGAGCAAAGAAATTTGTTTAGTCTATTTCCTTAAACTCGATAAAACTCATTAAATTTTTTTCGAGCAATTATAGTGAAAAGCAAAGGCAAATGTGAGTCAGGCTGAATTTTCTTAAACCTTCTTTGAACAACGTTAACTATCT